CCACCCCCTCCAATGTCCAGCCATGCAGCACAAGGGCAAATCAAACAAGGTAAAAACCACTTTTTTTATAACTCTTTGATAAGTTATTCCAGCTTTTTACACTGAATTTATCTCTGATTATCCAGAGATAAAGTTACTGCATGGAAGGGAAAAGTGTAGTGTTGTAGTATTAATCTAGGTGAAATTATTGATTSTGCCATGAAATCATTCCCTGACCAGGAATTTTTGCCTGTTTCAAGTGCTCCTAAATATTCTGGTGTTGAGGAGGCTTAAACCTATGACTAAAAACCCTACAGTTATCCCAAAATGTTTGTGTGGGAATGATCCCAGCTCAGTGTCAGGATCACTCCTTGGCTGGGACAGCAAAACCAGGCAAAAAAACCCACAGGGATTTTGATTTTTTTTTTTGATTTTGATTTAATTTTTTCAGTCACTTCAGAAATGACTGAAGCTTCACTTGCAGTCTGGGTTGAGTTTGTGCATCTCTGATTTCTATTTTTCCAAAATGAAGCAGTTTTGGGTTCCAGGCTTGAATTGGTGTCCTTCTCCTTTAGATTTTTTGGCATTTCTATGGTGAAAAGTTGCATTTGCTTGCCTGGAGCCTCATTTAAAATGAATTAAAATTGCAACCAACCCTCAGGAATTCATTCTGGGACATCTTGGAGTGACAAATGGGGCAGCTCAGGCTGATTAAGGCTTATTTTTTGGGGTTTTTAATAATAATACAAATTCCAAGACTATGGAAATATGGGAAAAGCACGAAGAAAAAGGAGCAAAATTCCTGAACTTCTAATTTACAGTCAAACCAAACCCACCTGCCTAAAAACCATCTTTCAAATCACTTTATTTTGATTCCTTTGACCTTTCCAAAACATCTCTGTTTCTCTTACCATCTCCATGGTATTATTTTGAAGCTGAGTATTATTTTGAAGTTGAATATTTAAGTTGAAAATCATCACAGTTTCCTTTTTTTTTGCCATCCTCTGGTGGTTTTAATCTGTTTTTCTGCTGTTGCTCTCCTCACTTCTTTTTTTTTTTTTGTTTTTCTCTCTGTTTTTATTTTTTCTTCTTTTCTCTGCAAGTTGTTCCTGCTGCTGCTTCCAGCACGGAATCTGGGCACTCTGACACTTCTGCTTTCCATTCCTGTTTCTTAGTCAATGAAGGTATTTTTTTCTTACTTTTCTACTTATCCTTTACTTCCAGCTAAAATCCTTTCTCATTTTTATTTTTATTTGATTTTGAAGGGAATTTTTCTTTGCCAATGGGGTACCTTGGGTTGGATTCCCTGTTGGCTCTTAACAAAAAAAAGCAGTTTCATATCACTTAAATCTGATTTTTGGTGTTGATGAAGATTTGGGGTTTTTTTTTAATTACTTGGAATTGTTGTTGGGGGTGAGTTTGCTCCAATAAAGATTTATTGCCATTGTTAAAAAAATCTTGCTTGCAATGAGAATTTTTAACACCAAGGTGTAAATTCCTGCTTCCATGCACCTTTTGAACTGGAGATTCCTCTTTTTAATCCTTATTTCTTGAGGGAAAATTGCCACAATCCTTTCTTTAACACTGTGAGGAGCGTGACTGGTGGGAATATTTAGATTTTTATGCTCAGGATTGCTTAGAAATTAAAAATCTTGATCTGTATGTGCTTCTTGAGTCAATGGGATATTGAATGTAATACATTTATTACATTTACATTAAATGTAATTGCATGGAGTATTTGACATTGTGTTACTGCAACTCTGTGTATTTCTCTCCTGGTTTTACCTGCACAGTTCTGTAGTAGGAATTCACCTGAATTGAGTGTGTTAAAATAAAGATTCAGGTGGGAAATGAGGATCTCAGTTTGTATAACTTCGAATCAGGATGGAAAATTCAGGACGGAAAATTCCGAGTGATCCTTGTAGGGGGAATTCCTCTGAGTTTTAGGGATTTATTTATGAAATAAATGGATTTGTGGATGTAAAATGGATTTTATCTGAGCACCCTGCTGTGTTCTCCAGGCTGGAGCCAACTGGCTGCCATGCACTGTGTGATGCTCCCAGATCTTCTGGGATTGGAAAAATTCCGTCCCCCTCTGCTGGAAATGCTGGCACGGCGCTGGCAGGATCGCTGCTTGGAGGTGAGCACGGCATTTTCCATTCCCAGCACAAATCCTGCAGTTGTTATCTCGATTCAGCAGTGTTTTCTGGTTAAACCTCAGTCCAGATTGAGTTTATTTTGGGGGTTTTTATCCCTGTTTGTCCCTGCAGGTGCGGGAGGCGGCGCAGGCGCTGCTGYTGGCCGAGCTGCGCAGGATCGAGCAGGCGGGACGCAAAGAAACCATCGATGCTTGGGCTCCTTACCTTCCCCAATACATGGACAGCGTCATCTCCCGTAAGGAATGTTCTGGAAATGGGGAAAAGGGGCTGTGGAACCCCAAAATCCCAATCTTCAATCCCAATCCTGATCATCCGTTCAGGCCTGGATGTGCCATCCCATAACCAAGGCTGTCCCGGGAAAGATTCCCGGCAAAAAGAGCATCTCAATACCCTCATCTTCATTAAACTGGGCTTTTTTACCCTGAAAATGTGGTCTATATTGACACCAACTGATTTTAGAGTGTCTGAT